TCTATCTAGTTCAACCACAAACTTTCAGAATTTTACAAAAATGTAATACGGAACGACTATAGTTGATAGTAATACATAAGAACAATGTGCATAACACAAAGAGTTGATAGTAGTATGTAACGCCATGATATCCAATAACAGTTCACTCTACATCGTACTATATAAAGAGATAGATTTTAGAAGTTCATAGAAAAATGTAAAGAAGCCACGAAACTTCCAAGTGTACTATTCATTTTTAACAAAATCCTTAAAGCACAAAATAGCAGATTTTTGTCGAAGGTGATTAAGGTTGTAGATATCATCTTAAATCTAAATATTACATGATCCATGGAATAAAGTGAAGACCTACTCGCTCTAGCTAGTCTTGGGATTTAATACGGACAGTCGGACACTGCATTTGAAGACTATCTTGTTGTTTTGAACTTCTTATCCGGATCAAATGTCTAATAGAGATGGCAATAAGTCTACAAACAACAAAGCAAAATAAACTCAGAGATTTTCTTAGTTTCTTCACTAGTTTCATCAAAATAAAAAATAATTTCATTTTAAGGCTACAGAATGTTATTCATACAAAATATCATGTTGGAGATATCAAAGGAAAGGATGTTAATTAACACCCACAACATCACTCACTCATGAAAGTTAGATATAGTAACAAAAAGATAGCAAGGCTTGCAAACAATGAAGCTTACTAGACTATCAGCACAATTCTCCTTAAACAGGTTGGCACCTGTCGAAGAATACCAACAAAAAGACAGTGAAGCATATATTTAAATCATATCAGATGTATCAAAATTCGTTTGACATGCATAGGAATAACTACTCCATAAACCATACCTGAGTATTGCCACAGACCTCTGAACTTTTAACAACGAGACATATTGACAAAGCAATGACTAAAGAGTAATGACCAGAAAAAATGATGACAATCACAGAGGCATGGAATCCATCGCATATAACTTCTAAAGGCAATAATAAGTCATTCTCTGAACCAACTTGTCAAGTCAACAACAATAAGAGAAATGAACTGTATGAAACTTGAAGGTCTTGCTATCAAGCGTACCCAAAAAAATCCGCAGGGCACCGAGCCATCTATTTAATGATTTACTAGATAAGACTCGCATCAATGCTTAGTTTTTCATACTTAGTCCCTAGAGCTAATTATCATGATCCTTTTGGTCGCTTTGGGTCTCCCTTGCACCCCTTTCCTTGTCAACCTTCTGTACCCCTGCACCCAAGGCTTGCAGCTCCTTCTTATGTTGTTCCACCATCCTCTCCTTCTCTAGTGTCATCTGAAAAGTGATCATTTCTTCACGGCTGAGCTGGATGGACTTGTCCACATAGTCTCGTAGGCATGTGTACAAGACACCAGACGAGCCCACAGTACCAAGTACCCATGTACCAAAAAAGGACTCCCTGAAAACAGTATAAATTAGACAACGGAGAAATATGAAGTTCACTATTTCGCTAGTATTTGCTTCTGTACCTAGGCCCAAATCCATCTCTAAATTGATAGTATCGCTGAGATCCTTTGCCATGATCGCCACTTCTCTTATGCTTTGCCTCTGTTGTGGTAGTGGACGCCTTCTTCCGGCCCAGGTGCTACGAAATCAACACAGATCCGCAAATATATAAATACAAATATGTCATGCGAACCTTGATTCTATAACGAAGAGGGAGGACAGAGAGACAAATTAAGCACCCGAACCTAATAGATTAACAATAATTCTCAAATACCTATGTGCCCTTGTAAAACGTCTGGACTGCGTAAACCAATAGCAAAAGCTGAACGACCGAAGCTCCTTCCACAACTACACCGCCGATGCCATGTCGTCCCCCACAGCAGCCACAGATGCATCACGGTGTCGCGGCTGCCCGCCGCACGCCGCACGCCGCACGACCTCCCAGGCGGTCTCGCCTCTCCGCCATCCGTCCACCCGCCGCCACTCATTCCCTCCATTTCCCTAAACCTGCCGCCGCAATACCCCTCCCTGTTCGTCGCTAAACTCCCGCGGTCGGCAGCGCCGCGCAGTCTCGCCGCCCAGCCCACTAATCTCATTAGCACAAAACCCCAAAAAAAACCCAGGATGAGGATGAATAGTGTACCTGGCTCCTCGGTGTCATCCGACGTGCCGCGGCCGCGAGCTGCCGGAAGGCAGAACGCGCGACAAGCCCCATGGAAGCCTAGCGGAGATCGCCGGCGCACGAGGGCCAGTGGCGGTCGGCGAGGGAAAAGATGCGCCTGATTCCAGAACGAGAGCCCGATGGAGAAGGAAATGTGCGTGGGCCCTTGCCCTTGATATGACACGTGTGTGACCCAAAGGTTCACGTTTTTTTTTAATTTGATTATTTTCTATTTCACATGCTTTGTGAAAATAGTTGTTAAATAAAATACCTGTAGAAATATACCCCTAACTGGAAGAGTTCTGGAGATTCGAGGACCCATTTGAATCCATTCATTTTGGAGGAATTAAAATCTACGTAATGGATTAGGCTATTTCGATTGAAATTTGACATTTCATAACTTTTTCAGGCTCACAAATAAACATATCTCAAATTCACAAGGTGGGAGATGTAAATGGATTCTATAAATCACTATGCTATAATTATACTCTCCAACTTACAACACACTCTTCAACTCACTTCTCTACAATAAAAATACAACACATAAGTATGTCTCTTACATGCCTAACAATAAATATACAAATATATTCCATATGCAACTATATTAACTTAATTAATCTATGCCTAAATTATAATTATTAGAATGAATTCAATTCCAAGGATCCAAACGGAATTTTCCTTGCCCAACATTTGAATTGGCAAAAATTACCTTTTATGTGTATTTTATCTTAGAAGAAAGATCATAATTTTTTAAGTTGAAATAAAGATAAAATTTTGTAGATAATTATAGAGGTTCATAGGATATACAAATCCGTAGTTCACAGTTTTTAAAACATACTAGAGCTAAATCACAATGCATTGCAACTGCATGCTACTCCAAGTCGCACTTCTTAGCTAGACTCGTAAATGTCTCTTCCAAGTCGGTGATTAGATTGTCCACACTCTTATATTTGACCAGCATGTCGTCCACAAAGTTTTCTGCGTTTTGCGCCGATTTGGTCCCAAAAACACTTTTGCATACACCTCTATTATATTGGACCATCAACTATGTTTTGCATACACTTTTGCTTCCCTTGGGCTTCTTCTTGAGTAGAGAAGCTATGGACCAAGTTTGAGGGGCATTGAGCTTATCCCTGGGTCACCCGACCCTCTCTCCATTTCTAGCCTGGCCTGTGTCGCGATCTTTTGAAAGGCGTAACTTTCACGTCCAGACTTCGAATTGGGTGATCCAAAACCCCATTTCGTTTATCTCGATGAGATCTTCGACATGGTGTAGTCAAATATACGATTTGATCAAGTGTTTGACCATGTCCAATAGTCACCTTTGTTCCTACATCCACATAGTCACCAAAACTTACGGAATTGATTAGAATTAAGCCCTATGACTATGGTGAATGTCATTCACATTCCCAATTTAAACATAGTTGATGGTATGGAATAGGGAGTTAGTGACCATCAAGAGAGGCGGGGACGGCGGTGGAGACGGAAGAGTGAGATGGGTGAGAAACTCTAAGTCTGTTATATATGTGACTACAGTAGCAGATCAACTGAGCTTCGAGCCTATTTACATAGGTGGGCCTCTTAAGTGGTTCGCCTATAAAAATAAGGTCTATTTTCAAAGGCTCTGTAAAACGATTTCCAAAGTTACTCGTTTCTTGGTGTCTACGTAAACAAAACAACCGTGTATAAAAATCATCAGGTGTTTTGGAGAGTGACATAATTTTTTCTCGTCTCTCTTTTTTTATAAAGACACTCAACAAGTTGTCTTCCAAAATCAATTTTAATTTTGTAGTAGTGCCCCTGCATGGTATTCTTTGTTTCTTCATATGGAAGGACGTTTTGGCTCAATACATAGAATACACAGTTGGAGAACATAGAAAAGTCCCTAAAATCACAAAATAACATTCATCAGAACACCCACTCGAACCAACTAAGACAAGTTTACAGTTTACACCCAACAAAATTAATACAATGTTCACATAAAACTACTGGAGAACATAGTATGTATACTACTGGTGAAAATAATCAGTATTGCTATATGTCAACCGGGTGATTTGGGCTCTTCTATCAACCGAATTCTGTGATCGACCAGGATTGTCTGATGCACGTACGTAGGGTAGATTCCTTGTCGATCTGACTTTTTTTTGTTGAACATATATATGATCAAGTGTGTCTGCTAGGTGCCATTCGTAACTACACATACTACTAGTAGCAAGCACGTCAGTTGTTAGTTATCTGGGAATCTGGATACCATATTTAATTTGTTGCATTGTCTTTCACGTCAAACGTACCCTAATGACAGTGATCAAACAAGTAGTGATGTGTCTGTGTATACCTTGGCGGCGAGGATCTGGAGGCCGGCGTATTTGACGTCCCAGCTGAACTCGTTTATAGCCCAGCTCGTGCCGCCGAACTCGTCGGCCATGGCCATGGTGTAGTCGAGGTACTCCGTCCTCATCCTAGCTGTGAATTTTTTTTCTAAAATTTGTGAATAATTTGATGATATTTATGAACAATTTGACATATATTTCTATGATATCTGAAATCCATAGAAATAATTTATAAATTTTGCTAAAATTTTTAACATATATTTGTATTATCCTTAAATTACACCACCGTTTCCAATAAATTACACCGAAGAAGTCATTGTAAACATAGTAATAAGTCAATATAAATTTAGCTTGAAGACTATAAGTGCATGGAAAAAATTCGGTTGACAGGAGGGGCCAAAACAACTGAACGTCACCTAGACACGTCCAAAATAATTGTACTTCAGCATAAAAGAAAAGTTCCTAAAATCGACAGAGCACCAACTCGAACTAATTAAGACAAGTTTGCACCCAACAAAATTAATACAATGTTCACGTAAAACTACATTAGATCTTGATAGCATTAGCATTTCCCGAGATCCTCTTGACGTAGGGGTCGTGCATGGTCTGCTGCACTGGCATGGCGCCAAACGCCCCGAAGTTCATGCTACTTTTGTCATCTATCATTGAGTACTCCACCTTGTCGTCGTCGATGTCGTCTCCTTCCTCCTCCTCCTCGTCCCAGTCCTGAGGCTCGTCGTAGTACGAGCTGCTCTTGTCCATCTCCATCAGGCGGTCCGCGTACTTGACGCTCTCGATCCTCACCGGCACCTTCTGGTCCCCTTTGCCAGCACGCCCCACCGTGGCGGCGGCGGCGGCGTTGTCTCCGCGCAGGATGCGGACGACGGTGCGCATGTCCGGGCGGTGGTCGGGCTCACCCTGCACGCAGAGCGCGGCGCACTCAACAACACGCGCGAGCTGCGCGGCGTCGAACGCGCCCCGGAGGCGCGGGTCGACGAGGTCCCCGAGTCGGCCGCGCGCGATGAGCGGCTCGGCCCACTCGGTGATGGTGCGTTTCGCCCCGGACGGCAGGCGCTCGATGGGCTTCCTCCCGGAGACGAGCTCCAGCAGCAGGATGCCGAAGCTGTAGACGTCGCAGGCGCCGGAGACCTTCCCCCACATGGCGTACTCGGGCGCCAGGTACCCGAGCGTGCCCTTGACGCGGGTGGTCATGTGCGAGACCCCCTCGGGCACGAGCTTGGCGAAGCCGAAGTCGGCGACGAGCGGCGCGAAGTCCGAGTCCAGCAGCACATTGCTGGCCTTGATGTCCCGGTGAATGATGTGCGGGGTCACCTCGTGGTGCAGGTACACGAGGCCTTCGCCCGAGCCGACGGCGACCGCGACGCGCCGCTTCCAGTCGAGCTGCACCTCGCCGGCGAACTGGCCGTGGAGGTGGGAGAGCAGGCTCAGGTTGGGCATGTAGTCGTAGACGATCATCCGCTGGTCCGCGCCCGCGCAGTAGCCGCGCAGGCCCAGGAGGTTCCTGTGGCGCACGCGGGCGAGGACCTCTACTTCCACCGCGAACTCCATCTCCGCCTTGGAGTTGTTGGTGGCCTTGAGCTTCTTCACGGCGATCTGCATGCATGGGACCATATGTGGGTCGGTCGTCATGTGCACACACAGGATGCTCTCACCGTCACCGAGCTGGTTGCGTGCGCTAGGTGTGGACGTGTGGTGTTACCTGGAGGCCGTCGGATGTCTTGCCCCAGTAGACGCTGCCGAAGCCGCCCTCGCCGAGCTTGTTCTCCTCGCTGAAGCCGTTGGTGGCGGCCTGCAGCTCCTTGTAGCTGAATATCCTCCACGTGCTGCTCATGGGCGACGCGCTCACGCACCTGATGATTAAAAGACACACCCAGCAGAAACATGCATAAGGTAAACCGCCTGATCGACGAGCCGCGCGCCTCGAGTACACACCAAGCAAGCAGCAGATGATGAAGCAAATCACACATGAAACCGAGGACCGTAAAGCACGCACGTACCCTTGCTCGACCTTCTCAGAACCGCAGCAGGAGGTCAACGACGAGCCCATGGCGCCGGACGATGCACGGACGACGTCGGCCGTGGACGGGACGCCTCGATGACTCCTCTGTTCTCTCGAACAAGGCGGCGGCCGGCCGGCGTGTGTCTCGCTCCCTCGCTCGTTTTGTCACGCGCACTGATATCTAGCTAGCTAGCTTGAGCCTTGAGGGGTACTTGAGTCGTTGGCCCTGTTTGGCTGCACAAATAGAGTAAAAATAGCGATCAAAATAAGTTGGTCTGATCCAACTTCTGCTTTTTTTTATAAATGGGAGCTGTGGGAATAAGCGTGATCAAAATAAGCTGCTAAAAGACGTAGTGTTTGGCTATTGATTTCAGTTTATTTTAGCCATAAGCAGCTTATAAGCTGCCAAACAGGCCCGTTGTGCCGAGTGAACGAAGAGTGGTGAAGCGATAATTGAGGGAACAAATAGAAGTACTCCTACTTGGGCTTTATGCTGTTGGCAGATCTCCCAAAACCGTCCAAGGCCGGCGGACATCTTGATGCACCATTTGGTGAATCATGCCAGCACTCCCGTGGTTTATGCGAGTAAAATAACTGGGCTCCAGTTACTGGCTCGCTCTTGGGCTGACCTGGTTTGGATGGACGTTTGGTGCAAGAGAAAGATGGTGGTGGAGTGAGAGAGAGCAAGTGCCACGTGGAGCAACGGATCTGGGCGCGGCGCGGTCAACGGATCGCGAGCCAGTCAAACGTCTCGGATGCCGCCCGGCCACAGGCCGCGCAGCCCGGTTGCTGGAATGGGCTGCGGGAATGGGAGCGTCGTGAGTTGAGTCTACGTGGGCCTATGGGCCTCCACACGGCGTACGCTAAAATGGGCTGCCGGACCAGACGAGTAGCGCAAGGATACGGCCTACGATGGCCCATGCATGCATCCATATAGGAAAGGTTGAACGAACGTTTTGATTCGCGCTGCATTGCAAGGCCGTCTGCAGTCAGTCTGCACAAAGTATAAAATGACATGCAACAAAGAAGTATAAACTGACGTGCATCAGTTCTCAACACAATCCACGAAAACAAGACCTCAAAACATCGTGAACGTACAACCCGGCAAGGATCAGGACACGTAGGGACGGAAACAGATCAAATTCGTATGGAATCGGATCTGGATATCACCTTTTACCATTTTTGTATTTGGATTCGAATACGAATATGAATATTTTTTAATAAAATACAAATGGATGTCTCGGATTCGGATTTCTATTCGGACTCAAAGTGTATATTGTTATATTCAACATACATGCATAGAATTTTACTAATAAGTTCCTCGATTACCAAATGAATAAAATCAAGGTACACTTCTAATAATCACCATATATCGAAATGAACTAGATTATAATGAATAATGTTTAATGAAATGATAGGTCAAATGAAGAAATAAGAATGTAGGCAACGAGTCATTTTGCTTTATCAATGTTTTTGTAATTACATTTATTACACAATTAGAGATTAAAGTATGTGGGTATATAACACAGACAAGGATAGCTCATCAAAAATAAAGTATTTATCAATAAATATTTAATAAATAAATATATCATTAATTAATCATTATTTATATAATATTTATCATGAAATTATAAATTATATAAAATATTTTAGATTAGTAAATAAATAAATAAAAGTATTAAAATAATTCACAAATATATTAGGTTTAGAATAAATTATAAAAATACTAAAAATAATTAAATCTTTATGTATCATTAACATCAAATTAGTATTGAAAGTTATTTATAGATATACCATTAAATAGTTTCAGTACATCATTAGTAAATAACTAGTCACAAGTCATGGAGAGAAAACTTTTAAATGAATTTATTATACCTTGTTCTTTGCGGATATGGATAAAAGTCGGATATTCCATATTTTTGCCAAATACGTATATAGAATCGGATAGAATAATAAAATACTAAAATGTGAATTCGACTATATCCATTTAGTATCACATTAAAAACGAATACGGATACGGATATCCATATATATAAGTTTTAGCGGATATGGATGTCGGATAATTCGGATTTCAATCCCTAACGATCTGGTTATGGAGGCAGCGTTTCCAGAGAATCAAACCCTCCAAGGCTTGGCACCTGGAAGGTATGCTCCGGCACAAATGGGCACAGGGCATCTGCATCTGATCCATCAGGCCGTCCAGCTCCTAACTAAATTCCCTTGTGCTTCAGGTGCCCTTCCACTAGCAATGATATACTACTCCTAGCCGACGGCGTCTTACGGCACACGTCTGGCGGACGCAGGTGGAATGGGGGAATCCGAACCCAAGTCCCCCCGCGGAAACGGGGACTGACCGAAAGGAACGAAACGACCGGAGTCCGGAGCTGCCACACGCACCGACCCCTACTCAGGAATCAGCATCGATCATCATGGGAATTCCGCGGGAAATGTGGCCGGCCAGAGACGGAATCCGTGGACGCGGAGTCAACAGGGACAGGCGACCTCTCCGCGGCCGCAGCAACGTCTCGTCGGCTCCGGTCGCTGCTACGTCGTCGTTTCGTTCCCGGAATGGAGGTGCGAATCCGGCCGGCTGCAAATGGGAGGATCTCGAATTCTGGATCGACATGGTCCGAGTTTATCCGTCAGGGGTTTGCATACTTGCAAGAAGATCAGCTACGACTATGCTGAATGGATCCAAGAATCCGTGCCAGTGGCTACAGTGACAGTGAGCCGCGGATTCTTCGTACAGGTACTACGTGAGACTAACGGGCCCAGCTGTGTTCTTCAGAGTTCAGACTTCAGAGCACCACACGACCTGGCAATTGGCAAATGGCAGATTCTCTCCTGACCATTTGTCAATTATTACCAGGTACCAAATCCGGTGAGAGTTTGGACATATCCAGTCCAGCGCCGGGTTGCAGTTGCAGGAGAGATAAGCATGAACTGACTGCCATCGAGCTGAAATGGGCACCTCAGAAGCACGGACACGGCAGGGAAGGGGCGTATCCCGTATCGGATACGTATCCGATACGGATACGCTTGGGATACGACCGGGATACGTATCCACGGCGTATCCACATATCCCAACTTAGTTGGGCCGAAAACTGACGATCGGAAACGTTTCGGCCTAGTCGACCAATAGGTTAATACCATCCCACCTTGCCCTGCTCCCGTCTCCTAGTCTCTTGCCCTGCTCCCGTCTCCCAGTCTCTCCAACGCGCAGCCGCCTCTGCCTCCGCCTCATGCAGGCGCCTCCACCTCTCGCCGGCCGCCAGTCCATCTCCGACCTCGCCGGCGACCAGCCTCTGCCCTCACTGCCAGCCCGTGCAGCTCGCCCCCGCAGAGCCCGTCCCCTTCCGCCACGCACGACTTGAGGACGGACGCGAGCGTGCACCCGTCGGGCGCCGATCCTGGGGCCGCTGACTCCCGCATGTCACCGTAGACCCGCAAGGCCTCGCCGGCGCTCCAGGACGAGTACGCCCCGACGAGCGCATTCCAGGAGAAGACGGTCCGGGCAGGCATTCCGTTGAACAGGCGACAAGGGCATCCCCGACCAGCCTCCGCCCTCGCCGGCGACAAGGAGCCCCCTGCTTAGGTGAGTTCCTCTCCCTCTCCAATCCAATTTAGAGCTGAGCCAGTGCGCCCTGCCCTATTAGGCCAAAGGCCATTACCTCTTCCTGATTACTGATTAGAGCCTTTTTGATTTTGTCCAATGTTCATTGTCCAGTATGGCATCTCCAAATTTGAGTAGTGCAGGTAGTGCTAGTGCTACTGCTAGTGGTAGTGTGGGATCTGGGTCTAGAGAAACAACTGATATCAAGGCTCCGCTGTGGGATCATGTCACCATTCTAGATAGGCCTAAAGCTGGTGGAGGAAATGCTCTTTGGAGATGCAACTATTGTCCATTAGAAAAAAGCAGTAGCTACACTAGAGTTGAAGCTCATTTGCTGCAGAAATCAGGGAAGGGGATTATCAAATGTCCGAAGGTTTCATATGAAATGCTGAGTGAGATGAGGAGGGAAGTGGAAAGGTGCAAGGAGCTGGTGGAAAGAGCAAAGACACGCACCGTTGCTTTGCCTGTAGCTCCTTCTTCAGGCAATTACAACAAGAAGAACAAGAGGGGACCTGCTTCTACATTGGAAAAATCTTGGGCATTGCAAGACCGTAAGCACTTGGATGCTTTAATTGTTAGAGCAATGTATTCTGGAGGGGTATCTTTCATCTTTCTGAGAACCCCATATTTTAAAGAAGCTTTTGCATTTGCTTGCAGCCGCAATTTGCAAGGTTACACAATCCCTGGGTATAACAGGGCTAGGGAATCACTCCTGAAGCAAGAAAGAAGGCACATAGAGCATCTATTGGAGAGTACAAAGAGCACATGGCCAGAGAAAGGGGTCACAATCTGCAATGATGGTTGGTCAGATCCTCAGAGGAGGCCAATCATCAACTTCATTGCTGTTTCTGAGAAAGCTCCAATGTTTTTTAGGGCTGACAATTGTGAAGGAGAATACAAGTCAAAAGAATATATTGCTGAGAAGTTGAGGACTATTATTGATGAAGTATGTCGACAAAATGTGGTACAAATCATCACAGATAATGCTGCAAACTGCAAAGGTGCGGGTCTTTTAATTGAAGCTGAATATGATCACATATTTTGGACACCTTGTGTAGTGCATACTCTCAACCTTGCTATGAAAAATATATGTGAACCCAAAGTGCCAAGGACACCTACTGATGAGGATATGCATGTTTGGGGACAAGTAAAATTTATACACAATGTTAAAGTTGAGGCTACTATGATCAAGAATTTCATAATGAATCATGGCATGCGTCTTTCCATGTTCGATGAGTTCAGCCATTTGAAGTTGCTTTCTATTGCCGAAACAAGATTTGCATCGGTTGTGTGTATGCTAAAACGGTTTGTTGAGGTAAAAGCAGCTCTCCAACACATGGTGAGTAGTGACAAATGGAGCATCTACAAAAAGGATGCTTCAACTGCCCAACATGTGAAGGAAAAAAATACTGAGTGATGTCTGGTGGGGTAATGTAGATTACATTCTTAGGATCACTACTCCTATCTATGATATGATACGCTTTGCGGACACCGACACCCCATGTCTTCACTTAATCTATGAGATGTGGGATTCAATGATTGAGAAAGTGAAGAAAGAGATATATTTATATGAAGGGAAGGAACCAAATGAGGAGTCAGACCTCTACTCTATTATTCATGATATATTAATTGCTAGGTGGACAAAAGGCAATAATCCACTGCATTGTTTGACTCATTCACTCAACCCAAGGTAACACTATACACTATATAGTTCAGAATTCAGATTCATTGCTCTTTATTTTTTAGTTGCTCATGTTCTAAATTGTAATGCTAAATTGTCAAATTCAGATTTTACAGCAACAAGTGGCTTGAAGAAGGTGCTGGCCGACTACCCCCCACAAGGATAAGGAGGTATCACAAATGAGGATGACTTGCTTCAAGAAGTTCGCAAGAGTTGGCTCAAGTAAAGAAAGAATACTCAAGGTTTTCTAGTTATTCAGAAGAATTCAATGATCCTGATTCTATACATGATAGATGGGCTGTTTTCCTAATGACTTGGTGGACAAATTATGGACAATCTGTCCCTCTATTGATGAGTTTGGCCATAAAATTGCTGAGCCAACCGCCTCTCTTCTTGCTGTGAAAGAAATTGGAGCACATATAGCTTCATCCATAGTGTCAAGAGAAATGCCTTAACTCCTAAGCGGGCTGAAGATTTGGTCTTTGTGCACTCAAACCTGAGGCATTTGTCAAGAAGAACTGATGCATACAAGACAGGAGAGACAAGGATGTGGGATGTTGGAGGAGATTCTTTTGATTCCCTTAGTGGTGTAGGTCTTCTTGAAGTTGCTGACCTCTTCATTGATGAGCCGGAGTTATAGGCTGTATCATTTGGATTGGGTGATCTTGAGGTTCAAAGTGTGGAGGAGAATGAGGAAACCGAGGAAGAAGCTTGATATTGATGGCTTGATACTATCCTATCCTACTATAGTACTAAATTGCTAGTTTGCTACTTTGAGTGTAATAGATCTTTTATTAATTTTCTATATTAGAACATCCTATCATGTTATTCTGAGTGTAATAGACCTTAAATGTCTCTATGTTGAACTTGAACATCTATTTTGCAATTTAATATGCATTGTTATATATTTATTAATAAAATAGTTAAAACGTATCCCCGTATCGGGTTGTTTAAGAAATTACCGTATCCGTATCCTTCCGATACCGATACGCGTATCCGTATCCGTATCCGTGCTATATAGATGAGCACACACTGTCTCCTGCCTGCCTAGGCTATTATCGATGACGTTCCCATCTTGGGCGCCTTTTGTCATTTTGATATCGCGATCTGCAACAAGATAGTGAGGCCAAACTGCTTATTGCAGGAAAGGTGATGCGTGAACACATCTGACAGCTGCTGCTATCTGAATATGTTTCCGGGATGGCCACATCGGGTATCAACAGACAACACTAGCTCGGATCACACGAACGGTCCTGATTAGCCGAGTTCACCTAATCACCGGTCACCGTGGAACTGCCAATCTGTTTGGGAGACTGGAGCAGCATGGCCATCAGCAGCTCAACTGCCTGTCTCACTATTCAGGTATCATCTATATCGTCCTTCCAACATCTGGTTTCTGTTGATCCTTCTACAAAGACTCAAGACAGCAACCGCATACAGAAGCAATTATTCTTGTTTTTTTTTTGTGCAAAAAACTGGATACCAATTTCAAAACGACTTTTTTTTTGAAGAAAAAGGAGGAGCACAACTCTTTCATTTAAGAAGACTTTACAATATCACATACGAAGGTTAGCTCTTCTCATCTATCGATGGTCATAGTATTTGCCCACAGCTAAGCCTCAACGTTCACCCCTGGAGGCATATAAATTACTAACCCGAGAAAAAGAAAAAAAATATCCAAAATACCATACACTTATTGTTTTTACCAGGTAAATATACAAGGCGTAATTTGACATGACACAGTCTCTCAAGTTACACTTTTACCATTAATTGTATATAATATTTATTATGATTATAAGCTTATAATTATTGGATAGTACATTTGATTACGATTACGAATCTAACTACGTGAAAGTTTGTATTATGATACTTAAAAATTGTTGGCCATGATATTAGTATAAAAATTATGAAGTTTGAATCTTGATATCTGTGTAGGGGTAGGCATTCGGATGACCCAAAAATTGGGATTTGGTAGTTCACGTATATAGAATTTCAGGTAATAGAAATTGACACCTCATGTTTGCCCCGAAGAAAGCATTACCCAATAATTCGAATTCAGATATACCCGATGTACTCGAGATTCACAAAACCAGCTATAGAGAGAGAGAGAGAGAGAGAGTTGGCGGAGGCAGCGGCACGAGGACAAGAAAACGGACTCATGACGTGCAACTGTGCAAGGCAGCTGTGTGAGAACTTCTTTAGCATTCAATGGCACAAGAAATTTATCAAAAAAAGCTAGCTTACTCACGTCATATATTGTGTTGTCTACCATTAATAAGCTCCCCTACCCATATCGCAGCAGTGGAACCTCCTGTGGAGCCCCCATGAATTTTTAAGCAAAATTCTATAGTGTAGGGGGCTGAGACTTAAGATTGAACAGCAGTGTTGTTCGTCCCCCTGAAATATTTTCTGGGTCCGCCGCTGTGTGAAGCTGTAATAGCTATGGTCAGGGGCCATTTGAGGTAGTTTCTTCCGGATTCAGCTCTATGCCAAATCTAGAGGAGTTAGAACCGATGAAGCTAGTTTTTTTTTTCTAGCTTCACCAACTTCTAATTTTATTACGAGAAGAAAGAGAAAAATGACTTACGACTATATTGCACAAGATTACTGGAGCCATTCTAAGGAGATGCAGCCTTATAGTATGATCACCGCATCAAGTGAGGTATGTGAATGAGGATCTGCTAAATCAAACATCAAATTCTCAATGGGTGTCGACGGGATATCATTGATAGTCCACCAAGGGGTAAACCCATAGTTAGATCAAACAAGCACTGATCCCCTATAGCTCCCCTTTGTGCATGGGCCATGGGGTCATGCAGGGTCGTACGTGGTCCCATTTTCAGGCTCCTTGAGCTGTAACTATTCCAGTTAACGTGGAGCAATCTTGGTAGCCTCGTCAACACGGATGCTACTTTACTTTGGATGTAGAAACTTAAGAGGTATCATGTCCGATGTCACGTGGGATGTTGTATGGGGTGTTCGGATACTAATAAAAAAACAAATTATAGAATCCGTCAGTAATCTACGAGATAAATTTATTAAGCCTAATTAATATATCATTAGCACATATTTATTATATCACCACATTGTCAAATTATGAATTAATTAGGTTTAATAAATTCGCTATATTTAATACTCTATGCATGTGTGCAATGTCCAAAAGACGTTACTCAGCAGGAGCAGGGACCGGCATGGCGATCAGGAACTCTGCTGCCTGTCTCACTAAACCTGTACGGAGTACGCTCTGTGTTTTCCTTCTCAAGTCTGAACCTCTGTGATCAGCCAGAGAAAATAGTTCAGTCCTCTGTGATTTCTCTGGCTGATCACTTGAACAAACAGATGGACTGAACTATTTTCTAGTACGAAAAGTAATGTGTTCTACTAGTTCTACTCAAACATTGCTGAACTGTAGCCCTGGTGGCTAACTGGCTGTGCCTGTTTATCGATGATCGATCCATTATAGTCGTTTCTGAATTTGAAGCAGAAAGTTGCTGAAATCTTCTTTTTTCCATAAACAGATTGCAGATTGCAGCAACTGGAAAAGTTAGCAAAACTCGCATTGAAGTTTCTTTTTTTTTCCATTAATTTCACCCCCAGTCTCAACCAATCACGTAATCTACATCTACAGCTAAATCTAACACACCACTCCAGCAAGAGGAGAAATGGGAAGGAAAAACGAGCGATCACTCAGCCAGCGCCGTCGCGCTGCTGGTGCTGCTGCCTTCACTGCCCCGGATCATGGCGCCGGCGCCGGCGTCGGCGCCGAGCCGGGGCACTCCCTGCTCACAGTCGCCGTCGTCCGCGTGCGCCTTCTTCTCCTCGCCCGAGCCCGAGCCGGAGCCGCCCGGCGCGGCTGGCACGGCTCCGAGCTCCACAACGGCTCGGCTGGCCGCCGGCGTGGCCAGGAAGGTCGGCCTCTCCTCGCCGGCCATGATGACCACCACGTGCTCCTGGAACTCCGCCGCCGGCCTGGCCGCGCCGGCCGCCGAGCCCTTCTCCCCGTCGGCGCCGCCACCTTCCCCGGACGACCCGGCCCGCCGGTCGCGGTCCGCGTCGAGGTACCCGGACAGCTTCCAGTAGGAGCAGGCCAGGATGAGCAGCGCGAAGGCTATGAGCCCCAGCATCGCCGCCAGCCCGCCGAACAGGTACGGCACCGGCGACTGCCACGGCGAGTGAGGCGCCGTCGCGTTCGCCCCTGGAGCCGCCATGGGCGCGCCGTGGCTCATGGTCGGGAACTCTGCTCCTGGCCTCATGGCGGTAGAGCTGGCTGCTAGCTCACTTGCAGTCTTGCACCCACCGCCTATTTGCTGTATGTTATGTGTTGTGAGAGGGACGAGAGATCAGGAGTGCTTGTTCTTGGAGGTGATGCGGAAATGGTGAGAGGGAAGGGGATCTATTTATAGGACAAATGGACAATACACACAGGCTTGTGAAAATGTTTGTAAAGGTTGATGTCAAGAGGGTAAGGTAACAGAGAAAAAAGGACCAATGGGGAAACGGTTTTATGTTGCCAACTTTGGGCTTATATATATGATGGTGCTTAGGCAGATAAGATAAGATGAGTGATTCCTTGTCCTACATAGCCGTGGAATGATTAACTTGTAGGTTAGTTAATTGGGCGGAATTAAGCAAACACAGTTGCATGATGAACGTTTAGAAGTTTCTTATGGGATGTAAATAATTTAGTTTGGGTTCTACACCACGTGTTGAAGGGATAAGTTCCACTCTGCGCAAGAGATCCGTTAAGCTGAAGCATTTGCATATTATAGGGTCTGTTTGTTTGGATACAAGAGCTGATCACTAGCTAGCTAAAAATTAGCTCTAGTACATCCAAACATTAAGGCTAATAGGTGGGCTAATTTTTTTAGACAAGTCTTCAACTAGTTGTTAGCTAACTAGTTAACCAATCTTGGCTAATTTAAGTTTATTTTTAGTCTAACTATTAACTAGCCCTAACCCATCGAAACAGACACAAAATGATATGAAAATCATTATCCAAAAAAAGTATGATATAAAAGAAACAAAGGTTTAGAGGTGGTGTGGTATGACAAATAGGGCTGATCCTCATCAGGTGGGATAACTTCTCATGCTCTGCAATTCATGATTTTGAAATTTGAACTTTGTTTCTGAAAAGCAAAGGCAAACGATCATTTTGCTTTTGAGAAAAGAAGTTTGTAGAACTACACTTGAGTAATTTGTAGTACGAACTGTCCATTGATTTGATTGCATTAATTGGTTTTCCCGTGGATGGACACTATATGGTGGCCCGAGGAAGAGGTCATCTAGAACTGTACGAGAATGATTGCTTGTGCACTGATTATTTTCCTGAAAGGTTGTGCATTGATTATTGACAGACTCCAGACTGAAAATGAAAAGCAATTAAGTTAATGATAAGGTTTAGGACATACGTAAAGCATCATCATCCTAGCTTCAACTCTTTGGCAACTAAATTAATGCAGAGACAGAGATATGCTGTGGTACCAACAAAGGGGAGCATTGCAGATGTGTCCTAAGTGTGGTGCTACTGCTACATATATGCCCTACATACATTAACTATATACCTAGCTGAATGTATAATTCATATGTTGTAAAACTATATTTTTTTTGAAATAGATGACAAAAATAGTAATGTTAGACTTAGAACAAATCTATATGACATGTAAAAAACAATGGAGGGGTAAAAAAAAGAATGGAGGAGTATCCAGTAAAAACCTATATTTGTCCGTACATAATTTTTGTTGCATTTTGGCATATATTTATATAATGTGGCATGATATTTTCTTTTGAAATAGGTGATGTTCAGTTTACAAAAGTTATACATGCATCTTAATGATAGCACAAGTTGTTAATTACTTCAAGGTAATAAAGGTCATGTCCTTATCCTTAAGCGTCAATTAATTAGTTGCTAGCTTAATCCATCACTTAGTGTAGCTTTACCAACAACAATGTGGATTACGTCTGCCAACTTTAGCTAAGAGCTAGCGTGACACATTTGATGAGTGGAGAATTTGAAGCAGGGCCCAATAGAATGATCGCACTGATCTCTCTCTACATACTTTCGAATCACATATCCCACACTCTACTTGCAGTAGTAGTATTCCTCTAAACAAATTTTATTTTAATAGAAACATATATTCCCTCATTAACCTTTTCATCGCAACTTTTTGTTTGGGATTATTCTTTTCGTTAACTTAGTGTTATGCTCATATAATAGTGATGCAACACAGAAGACATCTTTTTGTATTTTCTTCAGGAGGATATGTATGTGCACACAAATATAAACTAGACAGACAGTGCTTGGTTTTGTTATTGCTTGGTGTGAGCTTATCCAGACGGAAAAATGTTGGGCCCCGCCTGGCCTAGGGTTTGTATTGTGTCCAAAGACATGGGTATAATGTTTCGATTTCACAAACAGCCCCAATGTATTCTCCCTCGGAGAAAAAGCAACACCAATGCATGTTTTGTAGTGCATCGTCGATCGATCCATTTGTGCCACGGATAAAGCTACACGTATGTCTAGTACAGCTAGGTTTTAGAGTGCATGTGATGGATGGATTGATCATATCCTTCAGAAAATTTTCACTTTTCTTAAAATACAAGTCTTTCCCCATGAAATTACTTATTACTCGATAAGGTTTAATTTTTTTCACTAACAACTAAAGTTTCTAAAAGATGATTTATAAGGACAAGTCATGTTATCATCAAGCATCCCAAAAATCAATTTTATGGACGGACCATGTTACCAACCGTCCATAAATATTGATTTCTAGGGCCAGTATGTAATGTCAACCACCCTCTAAAATTCAATTTTTGTGGGCTAGTTTGTGATGTCGGTCCTACAAATGCTTCATTTCTGGAGGCGCACGAGTAGATGTGGTTAAAACAACCACCCATAAAAATAATTTTGATCGATTCTAAAAATATGTAGTGTAACTAAAGAAAAATATATAAATGGTAGTAACTAATAATGGTGACATGACGACTACTATAATAATCTTATGTACTCATTGTCAATCCAAATGAATAAATAATTTAATTAGCGGTTTATTTAGTGTTAGGTTGTGTAGTTGTGTAGGAGAGAGAGAGGCCTTTTTCTCGATTAAGTGGCATCTCACTTTGGCATGGTGATTGATTCCACACTTAAGGTATCCCATTGGTAGTCCATAGTTTCTGACTAATGCACATGAGCTTTATTAGTGTAGTGATCATGGCCTTCTTTTTTTTTTTTTTTTTTTTGCTGAAGTACGTGTTCACCTACAACGGTACAAGCGCTCCACCTGGCCCTGAAAGCTGCTGTGTTTTTATGTGCTTTGGCTCACATGTTCGCGACCTCTAATTGGGTGGTTGTGTGGTATTGTCTGAGCAACGGTAGATCTATTGTGGGGCGCTCATGTCACATTCGGTTCGGTTGGCGTTAAAATCATCGCTGACTTGACTTCCAACACCAAAATATCAATTTGATTTGACATCTCAACGTATGGAGTGACATATACTTCCGCTTATTACAAAGTATCCTAAGCCAACCTTTTAACAATTTGACAATAAATATCTATAAAATTATATATCATTATACTAAATGAAAATAATTATATATACTTATAAATCTAATAATGTTAATCTTATTCTGCTAGTCTATATAAACTGTAAGGTATAACACTATAAAAAAGCGAATAATTTGTGGGGGGCTATCCCTCTTTCATAACCGCTTGATCTTAACACCGTTTCATATAAGCTTTTCGTCGTTCGAGATCTTACTCTCCTTCATTAATAACTGTTCGATTTAGACGCCGTGTCATATGAGCTTTCCGTCGTTCAAGATCTTCCGTTACCCCATGCCCCCCCTCAAACCCATGGCTCGACTCCCTCTCGGTCACGTACAGCCAAAACTCCCAGTCGGCGCCGTCCCTGTCTTTCCCGTGCCGGAGCAGCGCAATCTGGGAAAGCTACACAAGCATATGGTAGAGTTCAGGTAGAAAACGTGTGTGTATATATATATATATATATATATATATATATATATATAAGTAAAGTAAAAGGCTGATAAAACGAAACGTCCTCATGTGGAAGAGCGAAGAAGTACAGATCGGAATTCCGTGTCGACGACGACGATGACGTGCTGGTGCCGGATAGCTCTCCCGGCGGTGGTGGCAGGGTGCGCTCGTGGAGCGCGCTGCACCGGCCCGTGGAGCCGGTCGTCGTCGTGTCCACTGGAGGCGGCACGGTTCGAATCTGGCAGGTCACGGACGCACAGGCGCCACTGTCGCTGCCTGTCTGGACGTTGAAGGCGCAGCTGGCACAGGACGCCAGCGCGGGGGCTGTCGAGACGCCGCGTGCGCGGCTGGGTCGGAGTTTTCAGGACTCGGCGGCCAGTTGCGGCCACGACGAGAATGTGCTCCCTTCGCCGATCCCATGGCGGTCGTGGTTCGGGAGGCTGGACGCGCGTCGACCCGTGTCGCCGAGCCCCTCGCCCTCCCCCTCGAGGCTGTCCCAAAGTGGTTTGTACCCGGTCCAGAGATCCTCCAACTAGCAAGAAGCTAAGCACAGGTCCCTTCGATACAGCCTTGTCCCCTGCTCTTGCTCTTGTTCCGCACGCACGCGTCGTCAGGAGATTCTCCGGTCCGGCTGCATTGCGGTGAGAACCGCGCAGAGGCGCTTCATGCGCATGTCACGTTCGGCCTAGTTTGGAATTTAGCGTTCATGTGTATGTTAATGAGATATTATGAAAAGTTTAGTCCTAACTTGATTGTTAAAGATGGAATAGCCCAACGTATAAGAATTTTAGAGTCCATCCCACCATTCCTGAGTTAATCCTTTTACACGAAGCGAGGATGAAAACGTAAGTGGAATAATGATAGGTGTGATTCGTTCAACGTGCAGAGTGGATCTGTTTAGACCTGGAGCGTTACAGCCCACTCCCTTCGATTCCTCTCACACGCTTGCTTTTGCTTCAACAAGTTCTACCGGCCGCTGCCCAGCCTCCGGATGGCCGAATCGCCTGCCGCAGATGCCGATTGCTGTCGTCGCCGACGAGCACGCATAGCCGTGCAATTTTTGCCACCAGCAAGCTTGTACGAGGAAAATCCTCCGGTGCGACGTCCTGGAGAGCACATAGCAATCGACGAGCCCAACTAAAGTTCAGAGCTGTACGTGAGTCCTTCTCACGTTATTTTAATACTTCTCATTGAAATTTAGATTCAATCAGTGTCTCTCTGTCAGCTTTAATTCGGCACAAGGGTTAGGTATTTTCTTTTCT